GGCTAATTTTTTTTGTATTTTTTTACAGACAGGGTTTCACCATATTGGCTAGGTTGGCTTCAAACTCCTGGGCCCAAGCAATCCTCCTGCCTCAGCCTCCCAAAGTGCTGGGATTATAAGCAGGAGCCACTGCGCCCGGCCAGAATAATTAATATTGTTAAGCTATCTATTCTCTCCAAATTGATCTAGAGAGTGAACACAGTCCCAATCACGATCACAGCCCACCTTTGAAAGACATTTTTTTTTTTTTTTTTTTGAGACGGAGTCTTGCTCTGTGCCCCAGGCTGGAGTGCATTCACGCCATTCTCCTGACTCAGCCTCCTGAGTAGCTGGGACTACAGGTGCCCGCCACCACGCCCGGCTAATTTTCCTTTTTTTTTTTTTTTTTTTTTTTTGAGACGGAGTCTCGCTCTGTCGCCCAAGCTGGAGTGCAGTGGCCAGATCTCAGCTCACTGCAAGCTCCGCCGCCCGAGTTTACACCATTCTCCTGCCTCAGCCTCCCGAGTAGCTGGGACTACAGGCGCCTGCCACCTCGCCTGGCTAGTTTTTTGTATTTTTTAGTAGAGACGGGGTTTCACCGTGTTAGCCAGGATGGTCTCGATCTCCTGACCTCGTGATCCGCCCGTCTCGGCCTCCCAAAGTGCTGGGATTACAGGCTTGAGCCACCGCGCCCGGCCAATTTTCTTGTATTTCTAGTAGAGACGGGGTTTCACCGTGTTAGCCAGGATGGTCTCGATCTCCTGACCTCGTGATCCGCCTGCCTCGGCCTCCCAAAGTGCTGGGATTACAGGCTTGAGCCACCGCGCCCAGCCTGAAAGGCATTATTAAGAAAGTGAGGGGCCAGGCACGGTGGCTCACACCTGTAATCCCAGCACTTTGGGAGGCCGAGACAGGCGGATCACGAGGTCAGGAGATCGAGACCATCCTGGCTAACATGGTGAAACCCCGTCTCTACTAAAATACAAAAAAATTCGCCGGGCGTGGTGGCAGGCGCCTGTAGTCCCAGCTACTCGGCAGGCTGAGGCAGGAGAATGGCGTGAACCCGGGAGGCGGAGCTTGCAGTGAGCCGAGATCGTGCCACTGCACTCCAGCCTGGGCGACACAGTGAGACTCCGTCTCAAAAAAAAAAAAAAAAAAAAAAAAGAAAGAAAGTGAGGGCTGGGCGCAGTGGCTCACGCCTGTAATCCCAGCCCTTTGGGAGATCGAGACCATCCTGGCTAACATGGTGAAACCCCGTCTCTACTAAAAAATACAAAAACAAAATTAGCCAGGCATGGTGGCGGGCGCCTGTAGTCCCAACTACTTGGGAGACTGAGGTGGGAGAAGGTGTGAACCCAGGAGGCAGAGCTTGCAGTGAGTCGAGATCACGCCACTGCATTCCAGACTGGGCGATAGAGCGAGACTCCGTCTTAAAAAAAAAGTAAAGAAAAATAAAAGAAAATGAGGCTGGATGGCCATGGCTCATGCCTGTAATCCCAACACTTTGGGAGGCCAAGGCACGTGGATCATTTGAGGTCAGGAGTTCGAAACCAGCCTGGCCAACACGGCGAAACCCTGTCTCTACTAAAAATACAAAAATTAGCCTGGTGGTAGTGGCGTGTGCCTGTAATCCCAGCTACTCAGGAGTCTGAGGCAGGAGAATCCCTTGAGCCTGGGAGGCGGAGGTTGTGGTGAGCTGAGATTGGGCTACTGCATTCCAGTCTAGAAGAGAGAGTGAGACCCTTTCTCACCCCCCCCAAAAAAAAAATGATGATAAGCCACAGACTGGAAGAAATACTCACAGAACATAAAAGGACTTGTATCTAAAATATATCAACCTTTACAGTGCAATACAATAAACAAGTGCAATACAATAAACAATCCAAAAAAAAAATGAGTTAAAAATTTGAATAGAGAGTTGAATAGTTTTCCAACAAATAGATGGCAAATGAGTACATTAAAAGATACTCAATATATTTTGTCATAGGGAAAATGTATATTAAAACCACAGTGATATCAAAACCACTATAGGCCGGGCGCGGTGGCTCAAGTCTGTAATCCCAGCACTTTGGGAGGCCGAGACGGGCGAATCACGAGGTCAGGAGATCGAGACCATCCTGGCTAACATGGTGAAACCCTGTCTCTACTAAAAAATACAAAAAACTAGCCAGGCGAGGTGGCGGGCGCCTGTAGTCCCAGCTGCTCGGGAGGCTGAGGCAGGAGAATGGCGTAAACCCGGGAGGCGGAGCTTGCAGTGAGCTGAGATCTGGCCACTGCACTCTAGCCTGGACGACAGAGCCAGACTCTGTCTCAAAAATAAAATAAAATAAAATAAAATAAAACCACTATATATACACTAAAAGGCCAAAATTTAAAAAAACTGAGAATAGTAAATACTGAAGAAGATATGGAACTCATACATTGCTGGTTGGAAAGCAAAATAGCACAGCCACTTTGGAAAACAGTTTGACAGTTTCTTATCAAAGTAAACATACACTTATCTTATAACCCAGCAATACCACTTGTAAGTATTTATGCAAGAGAAATGAAAACATATGTCTGTGCAAATACCTTAAAGCAAATATTTGTTGGCTTTATTCATAATAGCTAAAAATTATAACAACTCAAGTGTCATCAACTGGTGTATAAACAGACAGAAAAACTGGGGTGTATCCATAACATGGAGTACTACTCAGCAATAAAAAGGAATGGAACACTGCTTCTCCTAACAACATGGATGGATTGCAGATGCATTGTGCTAAGTGTAAGAAGCCAGGCAAGACACCTCATGTTCTATGATTCCATTTATGTGAAATTCTGGAAAAGGCAAAACCATAGGAACACATCAGATCAGTGTTGCCAGGGACTGGGGATAGATGGAATAAATTGACTCCCAAGAGGCCTGAGGGAACTTTCCTTGGGGAGATAGGGTCTCACTTTGTTGCCCAGGCTGGAGTACACTGGCATGATCATAGCTCACTGCAGCCTTGAACTCCTGGGCTTAAATAATCCTCCCACCTCAGCCTCCTGAGTACCTGGGACTACAGGCAGGCACCACCACACCTGGCTAATTTATTATTATTATTATTTTTGAGACAGAGTCTTGCTCTATCGCCCAGGCTGGAGTGCAGTGGCACGATCTCAGCTCACCACAACCTCTGCCTCCTGGGTTCAAGTGATTCTCCTGCCTCAGCCTCCCAAGTAGCTGGGATTATAGGTGTGCCCCACCACGCCTGACTAATTTTGTATTTTTAGTAGAGACGGGGTTTCTCCATGTTGGTCAGGCTGGTCTTGAACTCCCGACCTCAGGTGATCCACCCGCCACGGCCTCCCAAAGTATAGGGATTACAGGTGTGAGCCACTGCCCCTGGACTATTTTTAAAATTTTTTATAGAGATGAGGTCCCACTATGTTGTCCCAGGCTGATCTTGACCAAGCTCAGCTTTAGTGATGGAAATGTTCTGTGTCTTGATTGTGTCTTGATTGTGGTGGTGGTAATTCAACTGTATACATTTGTTAAAACTCATGTGAATTGTACAGTTTAAAAGAGAGAATTGGCCGGGCACGGTGGCTCAAGCCTGTAATCCCAGCACTTTGGGAGGCCGAGACGGGTGGATCACGAGGTCAGGAGATCGAGACCATCCTGGCTAATATGGTGAAACCCCATCTCTACTAAAAAATACAAAAAACTAGCTGGGCGAGGTGGTGGGCGCCTGTAGTCCCAGCTACACAGGAGGCTGAGGCAGGAGAATGGCGTGAACCTGGGAGGCGGAGCTTGCAGTGAGCTGAGATCCGGCCACTGCACTCCAGCCCGGGTGACAGAGCAAGACTCCGTCTCAAAAAAATAAATAAATAAATAAATAAAAGGGAGAATTGGCTGGGTATGGTGGCTCATGTCTGTAATCTTAGCACTTTGGGATGCCGAGACTGGAGGATCACCTGAGGTCAGGAGTTTGAGACTAGCCTGGCCAACATGTTGAAACACCGTCTCTACTAAAAATACAAAAATTAGCTAGGCACCTGTAATCCCAGTTACTCCAGAGGCCGAGGCAAGAGAATCCCTTGAAACTGGGAGGCGGAGGTTGCAGTGAGCCAAGATCACACTACTGCACTCCAGCCTGGGTGACAGAGGGAGACTCTGTGTCAAAAAATAAATAAATAAAAGAGAGAATCTTACTATGTGTAAACTAATTCTCAATATAAAATACATTTTAGGCCGGGTGCGGTGGCTCACGCCTGTAATCCTAGCACTTTGGTAGGCCAAGGCAGGTGGATCACAAGTTCAGGAGATCAAGACCATCCTGGCTAACAGGGTGAAACCCCCGTCTCTACTAAAAATACAAAAAAATTAGTTGGGCGTTGGCCAGGCGCGGTGGCTCACTCCTGTAATCCCAGCACTTTGGGAGGCCGAGGCAGGTGGATCACGAGGTCAGGAAATCGAGACCATCCTGGCTAACATGGTGAAACCCCATCTCTACTAAAAATAAAAAAAAAAATTAGCCAGGTATTGTGGTGGGTCCCTGTAGTCCCAGCTACTCCAGAGGCTGAGGCAGGAGAATGGCATGAACCTGGGAGGCAGAGCTTGCAGTGAGCCGAGGTCGCGCCACGGCACTCCAGCCTGGGCGACAGAGTGAGACTCCATCTCAAAACAAACAAACAAAAAACCATTTTTAACAACCTGCCAGGTACACTTCCAAGGTCACTTCCAGCTCTCGCTCCTTCACAAGGCTTCCCCTGACCACCTCCTTGTTGTGCCACCCTCTCGTGTGTTCTTTCTGGGTCACTGATCCTGTTAACCACAGCATGGGATCATTCCTCTGTGGGGCTGCATCAGCTACTTGGGCGGTCACCTGCTGGACTCACAGCCAGACTCTGTCTACTGGTGGCTCTGTTAGAAGCCAAGAGTGCTGACAGAGGTGGGGCAGGCTGAGGAGAGGCTGAGAGACCTGGGTGGGCTTCTGTGACTGTCTTGTTCCTCCCTCAAGTACCTACTCAGTTATTGCTGCTCTCTTCCCCCACAGGTTGGGACAAACATTCCTATGGTTACCATGGTGACGATGGGCATTCCTTCTGCTCCTCGGGGACTGGCCAGCCCTATGGTCCCACATTCACCACAGGAGACGTGATCGGCTGCTGCGTCAACCTCATCAATGGCACCTGCTTCTACACCAAGAATGGCCACAGCCTTGGTGTGTGCATGAGGGACCTTGGAGGCTCTGCTCTGTGGAGCCACTTTGGTTGGTGAGAGGCTCAGGGGCAAGTGCTCAAGGCAGTGTCGCCTCTGCTGAGCTCTGGGGTACCGCACCATTTCCAGGCATTGGAGCCCTTTCAGGTGAATAGAGGGTAGCAGGGGCACGCCTTTGTTCATCCAGCCGGTCAGCTGCATTTATCCAGCCCAGGGAGGATGCTGAGAGTGCAGTAGTATCCTGGTCGTGATCTTGGCTTTGGTGGCACTTGATGGAGCAAGGTTTGGCATCTGATGAGAAGTTTGGGGAACCCTCGCATAGGTTGTGTGATGATGGTTTGCGTGCCTGTGACTTGGCCCAGACTTTGGTGCTGGTTGCTGTGGAGCAGCAGTGAGGGTGGCACTAGTCCAGGAGGTAAACAGGCTGGAGTCAGATAGGGCCAGACCTCTGGTCTGTTCTTGGTGAATGGGCAGCAGCTGGGGCAGTTACATTGAAAAAGGCTTCTGGTGAAACCATGAAGGATGGACCAGAGTAAAGAGCAGGGGAAGAGGCAGATAGCCTGAGGTAAGGCAGTAGTGATGAATACAGGACAAAGGCCCAGGTGTGGCCTTGCAGGGCTTGGTGACAGATGGGGTTCACTTGCAAGAAGGCAAGGTGGGAAAATGGCTGGATTGGTATTGCTGTTAACCAGAAGAAGAAACCCAGGAGAAATTGCAATCAGTGGAAGAGGATGGGGCCTGTGGGATCCCTGGAAGGAGCATTCCTGTACGTGCGTAGACATTTAGGATTAGGGCTTGAGAGGAAGAGACTTTGGCTATTCTGATGCCTTGCCTACTGGGTGCTAACTGGTATTTGACCACATTGGCCCTGAGGTGGTGACTAACTGCCTGGTCTGCCTGCCTGGGTTTGCAGAGGTCTCCAGTCTACACACCCTAGTTCTCCAGAATGGAATGGTATAGTGAGGAGAGGACTGGCAGAACTCTACCAGCCCAGCTGCCAGCAGCTCTGCCAGGAAAGGGAGTGGGCATTTTACATGGAACCCAACTCCTAGAAGTCCCATTTCCCTTGGCTTGAGGGTCAGTAAAAAGGTGGCTGCAACTCTCCACATCCCCTCTATGACTTCTCCAGGAGATGAGCGCAGCTAGAATCAGGGCACCTGAGTGGGAATTGGATTGCTGATGGCTGGGGCTGCATGCCTAGAAGCCAGCATTCCTCAATAGGGCAACTGGATGCCCCAGCTAAGAGTTGGCAGGAAAGCCTTGGTAGCTAGGCAGCCGAGAACATAGCACAGACACTACTGAGCTGACCTAGGTGCACATCAGAGAAACCCTCCTCTGAAATTGATGACCACCTGGCTGCAGTTGCTAGTGACCAGCTGGTAAGGAGCTAGCGGGTAGAGGGTGGGCCAGGGCCTCAAGACAGCTCTTCACTCTCCACTCGGCACTCTGACTCCAGCTATTTCTTGCTTCTGGGTTCTGCTATCAAAGTCCCAGGGGCCACTATTGTGGGCTTTCACCCTATATGCAAGCCCCCCTTCACCGGCCCCCTTGTATAGTTGCCTTCCTCACATCCCTCCAGCTTGTCCACATTTTGCTCATGGATGGGGGCAGACTCTGCTGTTCCCTCTGTACCTGCATCTGTCTCCTCCAGGCCCTTCATGTGCACCAGGACCACCAAAGGGCCATGAGCTCTTTGCCAGTCAAGTCCCAAGGTCCCATAGAGAGCAGATGGCCACTTTAATGTCACCTCAAACCCTTCGGCTGTTTTTAGAAACCCATCTCCTTAGTGGATGCTTTTTATAGACCCCCATCCAAGACCTCACACATCTTGTAATGAAACTTCATCTAGTAGTATTTTGACTTTTTTTCCAGCCTGTCAGCACTTTCTGTGTTCTTACTTGTTCTATCTCAAATATTTGATATCCTTTTCAGTCTTGTATTAATCTAAAATTTGTTGTTTGTGTTTATGTTTTCATGAAGATGTTGTTAAAAAATATAGAAAGAAGAGAAGGTTAAGATTTGAGCCCTTCAGTGTACAGTTGAGCTTGTCCTGGGAGACATCAGCCATTTAAGAATAATTAAGTTGGCCGGGCACGGTGGCTCATGCCTGTAATCCCAGCACTTTGGGAGGCCAAGGCGGGTGGATCACAAGGTCAGGAGATCGAGACCATCCTGACTAACATGGTGAAACCTGTCTCTACTAAAAATACAAAAAATTAGTTGGGCACAGTGGCAGGCACCTGTGGTCCCAGCTACTCGGGAGGCTGAGGCAGGAGAATGGCGTGGGCCCAGGAGGCGGAGCTTGCAGGGAGTCGAGATCGCGCCACTGCACTCCAGCCTGGGCGACAGAGCCAGACTCCATCTCAAAAAAAAAAAAAAAAAAAAGGAATAACTAAGTTGGTCAAGCGCAGTGGCTTACACCTGTATTCCCAGCACTTTGAGAGGCCGAGGTGGGCAGATGGCTTGAGCCCAGGAATTCGAGATGAGTCTGGGCAAGTGGTGAGATCCGGTCCCTATTAAAAAAAAAAAAAATCAGTTCCTGAAGCTCATATTTTTCCATTTTTTCCACATGGATATTATTGAAACCTTACTGAAAATGGGATATGGCCTGTCCCCTGCATTTTTAGATCACAAAATGTAATGGGAAAGCAGTGAAGTTGGAGTGACAGAATGCGTGGTGAATCTTCTACTGTCCCTGTTTCCTTTTCCCAAGCCATCCTATCAATAATGTGCTTCAGAATCGAACCCTTCCCCATTTTACAGCAGCGGAATGATGTCTCCTGCCTCTGGCCTCCCTGCTCCTTTCCTCTGTCAACAGCCCTTGCCCTATGTACTATTGGTCAGTTATCTGCATAATTGTTAGTCATATGCCATCTCTCTTGCTGGAATCTGAGGGCCAGGCTCTGCAGCTGTTTCTCTAGTCTTGTGACAGCAAATACTTGGTAGAAGGATGAAGGAATGAGTGAACAGAGATACGGACTGATGTCTCATTTGCAAGGGGTCCATGTGCTCACAGAGTCATTTCCACACAGCTCTGTGCTTTCCCACAAGGTCTTTATGTTCTCAGCCTCAGAGGTCCCTGACCTATGTCTGTTTGACTCAGGGTACTCCTTATCAGCAAGTTTGGCTATCCTATTTGCATTCTGGATCTTTGCCTGAACCTTCTTCCCGTGGGCCAACTCAGATCTTGCCATCAAAGTGACGTTGCAGGCTGGAGGAGCAGTGTTGCCCTTGTCTAGTGCAGTAGTGGGTGGAGTAGCGTCTTTCCTCATTCTCCTGGAAGCACCTCAAGGCCTTATCCTTCCTGGGTGCCATTGAGAGGCAGAGTTGGGCAAGCCTGGGTAAGTCATCCCCTGACCAAAAGTGTTGCAGTTTCCTCACCCTGTGGCATTACTGCAGCTGACTTATATGTAGACCTCAGAGTTCATGAAGTAGCTTTCACAGAATGTCTCATTTTCTCCCTTTTTCCTTGAAGTCGAGATATCGATATTATCTCTTTTTTTCAGATGAGCTCAGAGAGGTTGGGATACTCGCCAAATGTCACACTGCATATAATTTATGGAGCTTGGATTCCCTTTTTCCAGGCTTCTTGGGGACTCCTCCATGAGCCCTGGAGTAAGCAATATCCTGGCCATGCTGAGATCCATGAGGGCAGCTCCTGGGCAGACCTGGAGGGTGGACATTGGGGTCTCCTCCTGGGTAGAGAGATTTCCAGATTCAGTCCTGCCAGCATGCCAGAGTCATGCCGACTGTGCATGTGGGGCCCAGAAGTGGCCTCAGACAGGCAGACCATGTGGCTTATGAGCATCCCTCAGTGAGAAGCAAACAAAATAGCCAAACAAAGAATATAAACCATCTCTCTGCACCTTGGTTTTTTCATATGTGACCTAGTGTCAGAGGCAGTATACATCTTCCAAGGTTGTCTAAGGATTGAATGGTGCCTTATAAGACACTCAGTCCAGTGCCCAGCAGAAAGGAAGCATGTGGTATGCACTGGCTGACATGATTCCAGCCAGGTTTCTGGGAGACCTGTTGTCAGATCCTCACCTGTTCTATTTTGCAGGGCTTCAGTTTCTTTTCTGGGTAGGGGTTGGAGTAGCAGACTGGAGATCTCTAAGGAATCAGCAGTTTGAAAACCTCTGAGGCCAAAAGCTCAGGAGCTTCTGGGAGATGTAAGACTTTATCTAGGGCTGGACGCGGTGGCTCACGCCTGTAATCCCAGCACTTTGGGAGGCCGAGATGGGTGGATAATGAGGTCAGGAGATTGAGACCATCCTGGCTAACACAGTGAAACCCCGTCTCTACTAAAAATACAAAAAAATTGCCGGACGTGGTGGCAGGATCCTGTAGTCCCAGCTACTCGGGAGGCTGAGACAGGAGAATGGCGTGAACTTGGCCAGGCGCGGTGGCTCACGCCTGTAATCCCAACACTTTGGGAAGCCGAATCAGGCGGATCACGAGGTCAGGAGATCGAGACCATCCTGGCTAACATGGTGAAACCCTGTCTCCACTAAAAATACAAAAAAAGTAGCCGGGCATGGTGGCAGACACCTGTAGTCCCAGCTACTTGGGAGGCTAAGGCAGGAGAATGGCATGAACCTGGGAGGCGGAGCTTGCAGTGAGCCGAGATCGCGCCACTGCCCTCCAGCCTGGGTGACAGAACTAGACTCCATCTTAAAAAAAAGACTTTATCTAAAAAATGAGAGGGTTTTGAGTCCTTGGGAGAATCTCCACTGGTCCTGAGTCATTTCCCAATGTGAATAACATGGGTGCTCTGGTGGCTTGCTTATATAGTTGGGGTCCCACTGCCCTCTACTCTCACTTCCAATTCAGAGCTGAGGTCCCTAGAAATGCAGCCACTTCTCTTGGCAGGAGGGTTTTTGACAAGCTATTTTTTGTTTTTGGTTTTTTGGGACGGGGTCTTGCTCTGTCACCCAAGCTGGAACCCAGTGGCACAATCATACTAGCTCACTGCAGCCTCAACCTGCAGGGCTCAAGTGGTCCTCCTGTCTCAGCCTCCCAAGTCGCTGGGACCACAGCTAATTTTATATATTTTGTAGAGACGGAGCCTCGCTGTGTTGCTCATGCTGGTCTTGAACTCCTGTTCTCAAGAGATCCTCCCACACAGGCCATTGTTAACCTGCGCTTTGCCAGCTTGGAACCTCTGAGGACTCTGACTGCGTATGGTCTGGAGATAGGCAGCTGCCACCCTCCCTGTTTCCGCTTCTCTGTCAGCTTAGAGATGACATTGGAGCATCGGACTAGGAACGAATCCAGCCCCACCACTTTTGCTAGCTTTATGACTACTGGCAAATTGTCGAACCTCTGAGGCTTTTCTCCTTTGTAAAATGGGATAAGCCTGCTTCCCAAAGTTGGTATGAGGATCAGACGAAGTAATGGATGGAAAAGGGGTGAGGCATGGTGGCTCACGCCTGTAATCCCAGCACTTTGGGAGGCCAAGGCGGGCAGATCACTTGAGGTCAGGAATTCAAGACCAGCCTGGCCAACATGGTGAAACCCCATCTCTACCAAAAATACAAAAATATGTATTAGCTGGGCGTGGTGGTATGTGCCTGTAGTCCCAGCTACTCAGGAGGCTGAGGCAGGAGAATTGCTTGAACTCGGGAAGCAGAGGTTGAAGTGAGCCAAGATTGTGCTACTGCACTCTAGCCTGGGCGACAGTGTGAGACCTTGTTTCCAAAAAAGGATCTGGCATGCACAATAGGTTTCCATAAATATGTGTCGAATCAAGAGAAGAATCAGGCCTTCTAAAGGGCCGCAGGGGATAGATCTTTTGAATTTAGTTCCCCTTAGCAGGCTTTCTTTGAGGGTGGAAGAGCTGTGCACCTACCTAAGCATCTGATTTCACTTCTGGCCAGGCCGCCAGTGAAGAGAAGGTCATGGTGTGATTAAAACTACTTAGCCCGGGCCGGGCTCAGTGGCTCACGCCTGTAATCCCAGTACTTTGGGAGGCCAAGGTGGGCGGATCACGAGGTCAGGAGATCGAGACCATCCTAGCTAACCCGGTGAAACCCCGTCTCTACTAAAAATACACAAAAATTAGCCCAGCGTAGTGGCAGGTGCTTGTATTCCCAGCTACTCGGAGGCTGAGGCAGGAGAATGGCGTGAACCTGAGAGGCAGAGCTTGCAGTGAGCCGAGATCGCGCCACTGCATTCCAGCCTGGGCGACAAAGCGAGACTCCATCTTAAAAAAAAAAAAAAAAAAAACCTGCCCAGCCGGACACAATAGCTCATGCCTGTAATCCCAGCACTTTGGGAGGCTGAGGCGGGCAGATCACTTGAGGTCAGGGGTTCAAGACCAGCCTGGCCAACATGGTGAAATGCTGTCTCTACTAAAAATATAATACGAGTGTGATGGTGGGCACCTGTAATCTCAGCTACTCTTGAGGCTGAGGCAGGAGAATCGCTTGAACTGGGAGGCAGAGGTTGCGGTGAGCCAAGATCGCACTACTGCACTCCAGCCTGGGCTACACAGGGAGACTCTGTCTCAAAACAACAACAACAACAACAACAAGAAACCAAAAAAACAATACCTGGCCCTAGCACTGGCTCCACCATGGGGTGCAGAGGCAGAGTAGCCCCAGGGGCTGGCCCTGATAACTGTTCCTTTCCCCCCACAGGTATAGCCTTCACAGACCTCCCGGTGAGTACTACTATTGGGTCTTCCCCTCCTGGGCTTCTGGGGGCTGACTGGGGTGAGCATGGTGGTACCTGCAAGTGCAGGGTGTGGAGTCTGGTTCTTTCCCCAACCAGGGATGTGTGCCATGCTGTCAGCTTGAGGGTACCAGGAGGGGCACTTGCTGGCCTTCCTCTCTCTCCAGCAGCAAGGTCTGGTCTTCCTACGACTCTTAGCAGGTGACAGTAATTTGTGGCATTTCCAGAGGCAGCTGTGGGCCTGGGGGGGTTAGGGTGGTGGAATGAAGATAGCTCCATGGCTCAGCTGGTCTAAGCCAGCTCTGTGTCACCTGGGGTGCAGAGTGTAGGGAATTATTCCTGAACTGTGAGGGAACCCAGTCCCTGTACATACCCATCAGAGATCCCTGAGGAAAGCCAGTGCCCTAGGGGAACTCATCTGCTACTACCTAGGGCACCCCCAAGCCAGAGAGGTGAGCTTTGTGGGGTCTTCTCTTCTTATAAAAGGATGGGGTTTTCTGCTTGCTTAGTTCAGGGTGTATCCTCACCTCCAGCCATCCCACACCTGTACCCCAGTACCTCTTTATTATGAGTCATCACAGGCCTAATCACATGCAGTGCCTCCACCCAGGATGCTGGGAGCCTGGCCTGGCTCTGTGTGTTCTGGCTGGGTTCTGGGAGGAAGGAAGGTTTACTGACTCTGGTGGCTGCTTTGGGATCCCAGACACCCCAGTGATGCCCCAGGAAATGCCTTTGTGATCTTATGGGCCTCTGAAACCCAGACCATAGCACCCAGGGTCCTGTTAGAACCTCCAGTCTATGGCTCAGAATCCTTCCCTCCTACCTGGAAGCCCCAGAGAGAGGCTGTGGTCCTAGGCAAAGAGCAGATTCAGGTGGAGAATGCTGACCCTGGCTAGGGAAGAGTCTAGTTATGGGGACGTGACATGAAATGACCAGGCATGAGCATGGCCAGTATGCATCCACATGCAAGAAGGTATGGGGGATGACATTGTGGGCAGTGACGGTCAGGGAAGGCTTGCTGGAGGAGGTGGGCCTTGCCTGTGGTGTGGAGGATGGTAGGGGAAAAAAAGGAAGCGAGAGGTCCTCTGTGTGCAGAGCCCATGGTGGGCTGAAGCCAGCATACAGGAAAAGGTCCCACACCTTGTGCAGATACAAAAATGCATGGTTAGCCGGGTGCGCTGGCTCATGCCTGTGATCCCAGCACTTTAGGAGGCCAAGGTGGGCAGATCACCTGAGGTCGGGAGTTCAAGACCAGCCTGACCAACATGGAGAAACCCTGTCTCTACTAAAAATACAAAATTAGCCGGGCATGGTGGCGCATGCCTGTAATCTCAGCTGCTCAGGAGACTGAGGCAGGAGAATCACTTGAACCCAGGAGGTGGAGGTTGCGGTGAGCTGAAATCGCGCCATTGCACTCCAGCCTGGGCAACAAGAGCGAAACTCCGTCTCAAAGAAAAAAAGTGCATGGTACTCAGGAAGGAACATGGCCTGAGCATGGGATGAAGAGTGGACTGAGGGCCCTAAGAAGACCATCTGCAGTGACAGTGGGGAGGAGGCTAGCGAGGCTCTGGATAGTAGCAGCGGGGAGCCCCAGGAACCATCAAGTGAGGGAGGGACTGGACAAAAGCCAGTCATGGCAGAGGCTAGGTGGAAAGCAGGGAGCCCTACACCCTACTGGCCAGAAGATCCTCCTCTTAGCAAGCGTCTAACAGGAAGGGTAGCTTCTCTTCACCCTTTGCCAGCACCAGGGGTCTAGACCACTGGTTCCCTTTTGCCATGCTCCCCTCCTCCCTCCTTTCCTGTGTCATCCCATCTCTGCCTACCCCATTGTGTATCTATTTTTTTTTTTTTTGAGGCAGGGACTCACTCTTGACACCAAGACTGGGTTGTAGTGGCAGAATCGCAGCTCACTGCAGCCTCAATTTCCTGGACTCAAGCCTCTTCCACCTTAGCCTCCCGTGTAGCTGGGATCACAGGTGCACACCACCACACCTGGCTAATTTTTATTTTTTTATTTTTTGTAGAGACAGGGTCTTACTTCGTTGCCCAAGCTGGTCTCGAAAACCTGGGCTCAAGCAATCCTCCTAAATTGGCCTCCCAAAGTGCTGGGATTACAGGCATGAGCCACCGTGCCCAGCCTCATGTGTCTATTTTTTTGTGGCAGAGAGGTCCTTGGCCCTGGAACTTTCCGAGAGGAGCCATGATCCACCATTGCAGCAGACCTTCACAGGCATTTCTGCAGGGTCGTGGAGCCCAGCCCATCTCTGTATGCCTTGACTGAGTTCCAGAAAGGGTTCTTGGGCCTTGAGGACACAAAGGCCTCTGATGCAGGGCAGGACACTCTCCATGATGTGCCTTGCTTGCTTTTCTTTTGCTTTCTCCCCTCAAGCTTTGGGGCATAATGTCTCTGCTAGGGAGGTGGACAGAGGTGGCTCTGCCCTGCCTCCTCCAGCCTTGCTGCAACTCTCCCAGCCCGAGTATGGGGCGGCAGCAGCCATGGAGGTGAGGTGAGGCCTTACCACCCCACTGCCCTTAGGGCCTGACTGACATTTCATTCTCCTCCTCAGGCCAACCTCTACCCCACCGTAGGCCTGCAGACACCTGGGGAGATTGTGGACGCCAACTTTGGTCAGCAGCCCTTCCTGTTTGACATTGAGGACTACATGCGGGAGTGGCGTGCCAAGGTCCAGGGCACGGTCCACTGCTTCCCCATCAGTGCTCGGCTTGGCGAGTGGCAGGCAGTGCTGCAGAAGTGAGTGCCCTGCTCCCGTCCTTACCCACCCCCACGCCACCCCAGCCCACTTCACTCTAGGCGCCTGTAGGGCTACAAGCTGTTCTTAAAAATTCCAGTGGGTGGATCCTTTCTGGGAAACATTCCCAGGGCGATTCAGCCTGCAGCTCTCCTGCTTCTCTCTCGTCAGATGGACAGTTCCCGCCAAGTTCTCCAGGCTACTCCTAATTAAACCTTTGCCTCTCAGCCAGATTGGAGGTTCCTGTATATAAGATCACCAGCAGGGCTGTTTTCCTTCACCAGGTCATTTTGCAGAGGGTTTTGCAGAGGATGCCCTGTGGTCTCTTCCTTTGTGGACCCTTTTTCTACCATAGGGAGTATCCATGATGCCGTGACTCTGGCCTGAGGCCACCTCACAGGGCCCAGCATCCAGCTGAGTTTCATTCGTCTGTAGCAGTGGTGGAAGGAAGGGAGTCCTCCCTAGGACCAGCTAAGCTAGCTCCTTGGCTGATTAATTCCCAGACTGTCCTGGAAGCCAGTGTCGCTGAACTCCCAAGGGAGGCCAGCTTTGGGTTTCTCTTGCACTTGCCAGCTGCAAGCCTGAGTGAGGCAGTGGCCAGTACCCACTCTGCCAGGAGGTGGGTGTTAGCTTAGCTCCCAAGGATGGGCAGATGGGCACGGGGAACAGCTAGGCTTCCACTACCTCTGGTCATTGCCCTGCAAAGGCACCAGGGTGCTAGGGTCCTTGGGGTGGGGTTGGGGTGCACACTGGTTTCTTTGTACAGCCTTTGTCCCTTGAGGTCTGTCCCTTGAGGCAGACCCCAAGGATGGGCTGAGGCAAGGGCTAGGTGGCCAGACCTTCCCCAGGAAAAACAGCATTGTTGCCTCTTGTTCCCAGTCCCCCAGAGCAGATGACAAGGACTTCCTTGGATGGCCAGGACAGTGCCACTCCCATAGCAGGCTTGGTGGGATGGGCAAGGAGAGGGGTGAAGATGCCAAGTCTGTGTAGAGGAGGAACTGATCCTCTCAGTTTTCAGGGCCTCGGCTCAGCACATGGATGTGTTTTTGTTTCGGGGTTTTTAAAAAAATATTGAGATGGAGTCGCACTATGTTGCCTAGGTTGGACTCCTGGGCTCAAGTGATCCTCCCACCTCAGCCTTCTGAGTAGCTGGCATCACAGGCATGTGCTACCATGTCCGGCATAGCACATAGGTGTTTCTGTTTCCATGTGTGTATCCATGTGCTTGTGTGTGTTCATATGTAGCATTTGCCAAGACCTGCATATAATTTGTGTACTATGGTTTTATATAACTTCATTTAATGAATATTGATAATGGCTATGTTATCACAGAGACAAATTGGTCACATGCCTTTTGGCTGGCTTCCTCTAGTGGAAGGTCTGGTAATTTCCTCTCTTTTACTTGTGTAGGTAACCCTCTTGTAGGTAAAGAATTTTTCATATTTCTCCTTGTGTTTATAATAATAATATGGTGTAATAATAATAATTATACTTACTTTACTTTTTTCTGAGTCAGGATTTTACTGTATTGCCCAGGCAGAGTGCAGTGACACAGTCATGGCTCACTGCAGCATCGACCTTCTGGGCTCAAGCAATTCCCCTACCTCAGTCTCCTGAGTAGCTGGGACTGTAGGCATACACCACCATGCATGGCTAATTTTTTGTATTTTTTGTGGGGAAGGGTTTCACCATGTTGCCCAGATTGGTCTCAAACTCCTGGGCTCAAGTGATTTGCCTGCCTCGGCCTCCCAAAGTGTTGGGATTACAGGCGAGAGCCACTACACCCAGCCAATAATTATTTTTAAAGTAGAGATGAGATCTTGCAATGATGGCCAGGTTGGTCTTGAACTCCTGGCCTCAAGTGATCCTCTCGCCTTGTCCTCCCAAAGTGCTGGGATGACAGTCATGAGCCATCACGCCCAGCTGATAATTATTATTTATACTATAATATTATGTAATATATCATTTCATAATAAGAAGAAGTCTTATTTATGGACTTCTTCCTGCCGGGTACTTTATGTGTATTATCTCATTTACCCCTTAAAGCCTGAGAGAACACACACCCAAACTTCTGTGCCTTCCACCTGACAACCCTTCAGACATTTGTGTTTAGAGTTACAGTAATGACATCAGATACATGCACACACCAAGGTGTTCACTCCTGTACACATCAGATTCGAGGGTTCAGCCTCTGCTCTATATGTGTACACACATGTGCCACTGTTCAGCCAGCTTCTGCTGGGGTAAAATGGCTACTGGGAGTCAGACTCCTCCAGACCATTTCCCAGTGACTGTGTTCCCACTGGCCCTGCTGCTGCCTATCTCTGCCTGGCAAAATCAGCCTGATCGCTTGGCTTCTTGGGCCCCTGATTTGTGGCATATCATGGTGTAACTCTGTGTTGTGAGTTAGCTTCCCATCACTCACTCACTAGAGCTGGAATTGCTGAGGGCAGGTTCACCTGGGGGACTGAAATGCTTCTGTCAGGTACATGGCACAGCCTGCAGAGGGGCTCCTGTGTCTGTAGAAGGTGTGCATGTGGCATGCATCTTGTCTGGGAAGCTGCCAGATTACCTGACTGGCTGCAGTTTTGGGACGCTATCAGTGAGACCATTGGCCCCGTAGGCTTGCTGCAGTTCCCAAAGAGGCAGCCACCTGTGAGGAGTGTGCCTGTGTGTGTACTTCTGTTATCGTACTCGCTTACTTGTGGGCAGCATGTCTCAGAGAAACTGCAGCCACTCCTCTGAACTGTGGGCACACAGGTGAACAGCCCCTCCGCAGCCTGACTTCGTGACCACGGGGCACCATGGGGGAAGTTTTCATTTTGTTTCAGCCCCTTTATTCTCATTCTGTGGAGGTTACACCTCCAGGATGTGTTTAGGGAGACCTCTGGGGGAGGTAATCTGCCCTGAGTCCATCAGGTGGTCATTGAGAAGTGCAGTTCTTGAGTGTCACCTGAAGCTCTTCCTTTCTTCTAGCATGGTCTCATCTTACCTCGTGCATCATGGGTATTGTGCCACAGCCACAGCTTTTGCTCGAATGACTGAAACCCCGATTCAGGAAGAACAGGCATCCATAAAGAACAGACAAAGTAAGGTTTATTCTGCTTTCCCCTTTTCCTCCCTCACCTGTCCCTAACTCTGCTCTCTGGCTCATGCCAACCCTGGTTCACCTGTCAGGAGTCCATTCAGCTCTGGTCCTCATGACCAGCCTGCAGCCCAAGGCCATGTTCCTGTCCCACCTTCAAGATGGCACTGCCCCGATGGACAGTTGGCAAGACGGAGACATCTCAGGGCAGCCTCCCTAATGCATATTCTGAAGGCTGGGCGCAGGCCAGGCCCTGGCATGGCTGGTTCCATTCCTCCATTTCCTCCCTGCTTGTTTCCTTCCCCTCTGAATCCTGGATTCCTCTCAGCCTCCTGTTCATGGTCTTCCAGGAAGACTGTTTGCCTGTTACCAAACTCTCTGCCTTTCTCACCATTTACTCAGCCTTAGTAGTTCTGCTTATTCTTAGCCAGAGAGGGGACTGAAGTGGTCAGACAGGGCAAAGCCAGTGCTCAATGACTGCTATGGGGGCACTGCTCTCCGCTCCCCACCTCTGGTCCTGCCCTTTGCTGACCACCTAGAGTCCTCGCTTCGCCAGAGCTCTCCCAGTGTTGATGCTGGCCTGGATGCTGTGCATCTGGAGGCTCTTTCATGGAAGGAGCGGTGTTGGAAAAGTGGAAAAAGAGCCCAGGGAGGAGCTAGAAGGAGAAAAGGAGAGTGAGGGCGAGTGGGTGTGGATATGCGTGTGTGTGAGTGCCTGCCTGCCCCTTTCCGAGCCTGCTGTCTCTTCTGTATATGCATGTTTCTGTCTCCCAGAGAAGCTGTGTTCAGCCAGACAGAAAGGGATCCCAGACTTGGGATCTATGAATGAGAGCCTCAGACCCTGAAGTTGCTCCCAGCGAGATGCACGAGGCCCCATGGCAAGAGCAAAAAGGCAGCAGCAAGATGCTGATGGCCTGAGAGGTGTCAACGTCAGAGGTGCCAGCATGAGGAGGATGGCCTCCTCTCCCAGCAGGGGGCATGCTGCAGCCCTTGAAGACCACCAGGCACAACCCTGATCAGAAACCAGTGTGATTTCCTTGCCATTACCCTGTGAGGCCTGGAAAGAGAGGAGTGTATCTGAAGAGGAGCCCCTCAGGCCACCAAGCTGCCTGGGTGCCCATCCCCAGATCATGCTGCCCCAGCTGGGGCCCTACCCTGCCCCCAGGTTCCTGGCACCATGTGCCTTGCAGGAACAGGCCTCCACATTTACCCTCCTGCCTTTGGACTGAGTTTCCCCTCCATCTTCCCCGTATTCTTGAGGACTCTGACGCTTGGCAGAAACCAGGATCTGTTGGGCTGGGCAGTCAGGTTCTTTCTCCAGCCTCCTCTCCTGTGAGCATTTCAAGCTGGCGAGGCACTCTGAGCCAGCCCATCTGATCATGGCCAGCCCCTGCCCTGAGGCTGGCAGCATCCCAGGCATGTGGCTGTGGGAGAGGTCTGTAGCCCTTGCTCACTGCTGTGTTCTTGCACCCTGCAGAGATCCAGAAGCTGGTGCTGGAGGGCCGTGTGGGCGAGGCCATCGAGACCACCCAGCGCTTCTACCCAGGGCTGCTGGAGCACAACCCCAACCTCCTCTTCATGCTCAAGTAAGTCTTGGGCATGACCCCAGCTCCCCCAGAGTCCAGCCCCTCTCAGCTGGTGATGGGAACGTCAGCCTGGACCACAACCAGAGCATTATTGCTCCGCTCCCTCCGCAGGTGCCGGCAGTTTGTGGAGATGGTGAATGGGACGGACAGTGAGGTCCGCAGCTTGAGCTCCCGAAGCCCCAAGTCCCAGGACAGCTACCCTGGCTCCCCCAGCCTCAGCCCCCGACATGGCCCCAGTAGTTCCCACATGCACAACACAGGTCAGCCACTCTCCAGAGGGCTCTGGGAAGAACTGGTGTGGAGGAGAGAGGCCACCCCACATACCCTTTCCTGGGCTGGGCTCCGGGCTCGCTGCTGGATTTGGGAGAAGGGAAATGGGACCACTGTGGTTATTCTTGGGGCTCCACTTGAGGGCAAGCTGCCCCTCCTCTTCTGACTGTCCCCCTGGCTTCTAGGAGCAGACAGTCCCAGCTGTAGCAATGGCGTCGTGTCCACCAAGAGCAAACAGAACCACAGTAAATACCCTGCACCCAGCTCCTCATCCTCGTCCTCCTCCTCCTCGTCCTCCTCTTCCCCATCCTCCATCAATTACTCCGAGTCCAACTCAACAGACTCCACCAAGTCCCAGCCCCACAGCAGTACCAGTAACCAGGAGACCAGGTGCCTGCCTTGCTCTGCTTCCTCCTCTGCCTTCTGCCCCATGCCAGCTGGGCCCATTGCAGTCTATCCTTTGAGTGCCCTTCCCTTCACCCCCAGCCTCCATCTCAGGTCTGTGCCTGGAGTCCTAGCTTTTGGCCCACTGGGCCAGATGTCAGCTCTGGCTTCTAGTCCTCCCCACGATTTAGCTGCACTTTCCTTGGCCTTGGCTTTCTCCAGAGGCTCCAGTGATACCAGGCTGAGGATGTGGTCTCCTCCAAAGAGGCCGGGCCTGTGAGAACCCTCAGGGTCCATCATGAGGGAGCTTTCCCTGGCTCTGGCTTTATAGACAGCCAGGTTGGGCAGGCAGGGGAAGCTAAGCTGCAGGCTAGAGCTCTAGGTGGCTCTCAGCATCCCCAGATACACCTCAAGGCTGACCTGGGTTTGGCTCCCAACCAAGGCCACAGAGATGCCCATGGGGGCCATGGGGCCCAGTCAGTAGGTTGGGGAATATGTAGAAGAGGTGTGTGAACTCAGAGGAGGGCCAGGGACGGGAAAATCACAGAGGCAGCACTGGGACAAGGGTGGGAATCAGGTGACAGGCCTCTGAGGATAGCTGGTGTCACAGTAGGGGTCAAGTGCTGAAGACTTGGAAGCCTGAGCTGTCCTTTCATGTTCCTGGGGGGTCCTCGGTTTACCCACAGCAACCCATGGCTATAGCCTGAAAGGAGGCCCAACCAGGCAGCTCCAACCACACCCCCTGGGCCAATTCCCACCTCAACCCTTCCCCACAGCGACAGTGAGATGGAGATGGAGGCAGAGCACTACCCCAACGGTGTGCTAGGAAGCATGTCCACGCGCATTGTTAACGGTGCCTACAAGCATGAGGACCTGCAGACGGATGAGTCCAGCATGGGTGAGAGCCACGGCCTGGTGTGCTATTCTTTGAGGGCAGTGTGCAGTCTGGGTGCCCTCTTCCCCTGGGAGGAGCTGGGCTAGGCAGGCTTTGGCATCTTGAGAAGCTCCAGCCAGACCTTGTCCACTGCCTCCTTAGCCAATTGTGGATGGGTCCTTGAGGTGGCTCCAAATGTACGAAGGCCCTGGCCTGTGCCAAGACCACCTGTGTTTGAGGCTAGAGTGTGTTCGAGAGCGTGGCCACCCTAATGAGCACCCTGCGTCTGTGCGGGCTGGGAAGAGGGACAGCTTCCAAGTCCTCCCTGAACCCTAGACTGTGTGCCAGGTGGACGAAGAGAAGAATGCCTCAACTGTAGCTGCCTTACCTGTTCCTCCCAGTCCTTCCTGCCCCACCCCAGTCCTGCCCTTCCCTTCTCACCTCTCCTAATGTATTCTCCACTGCGTTCTGGATGCAGATGACGGGCATCCTCGGCGGCAGCTCTGCGGGGGCAACCAGGCTGCCACAGAAAGGATCATTCTGTTTGGCCGTGAGTTGCAGGCATTGAGTGAGCAGTTGGGCCGGGAGTACGGCAATAATTTGGCCCACACAGAGATGTTGCAGGTACAGGATGAGCCAGACCTCATGCAGAGCAGGCCCCATTTGGTGTTGGGGGCAGGGTGGCTCTGGGAGAGTCCAGGGGGCAGCAGGAAAGAGTGGGCTCCAGCCAGGTCTGCAGAGGGAAGTGGGGCATCTGGGCCCACTGGACATGCGTGTCCAGGCTCTGGGGAGAGTATAGCCCTGCTCGACCCTACACCCCACATTCCAGGCTGGGCATCATGCAGGGCCCTGTCTCCCTCTGGAGCCATGGGTAGCAGGGCGGGCTATGGTGTGTGCCACAGTCCTCTCAAGAATGCCCTGTTCTATAGGATGCCTTCAGCCTGCTGGCATACTCAGACCCCTGGAGCTGCCCAGTAGGCCAGCAGCTTGACCCCATCCAGAGGGAACCTGTGTGTGCTGCCCTCAACAGCGCCATTTTAGGTGAGTGAATCTATTTATTATTATTATTAGAGACAGAATCTGCTCTGTAGCCCAAGCTGGAGTGCAGTGGCACAATCTTGGCTCACCGCAATCTCCACCTCCGCCTCCCGGGTTTAAGCGATTTTCGTGCCTCAGCCTCCTGAGTCGCTGGGACTAAGGTGCATGCCACCATGCCTGGCTAGTTGTATTTTTTGTAGAGATGGGGTTTTGCCATGTTGGCCAGGTTGGTCTTGAACTTCTGGCCTCAGGTGATCTGCCTGCTTCAGCCCACCAAAGTGCTGGGATTACAGGTGTGAGCCACCATGCCTGGCCTAGGTGAGTGGATCTAACAAAAACAGAAGCTGGCCCATGGCTACCTGGGTGGTTCCCACTCCTAACCCCAATTGGCCCCAGTAAGAGCTGTTTGTCCACACTGGGGCAGCAGGCTCTGCATAGGCCCTCTCTGGTGACTCAGGACTCCTGGGCTCCCATGGTTGAACCTAAACCCTGACCTCCATCTGCCCAGCTGAGTTCATGATGGGTCCTAGGCCATGGCGGTGGGCCCAGGCCAGCCCAGTGCTCTACACTGGGCTAAGGACCTCAGGTTCCTGGCATGACCTCAGGGCCATGGCCTGGTGGCTGGGACACACTTACACAGAGGTACTGAACACTCTGTTCCAAGAGAATCTGTCTACTGCCCCCTCTTTCCACTCCCAAGGGAACTTTGACCTGGGCCCAAACCCTGGGCAGGGCAGTGACCAGGCCTTTTCTTTCCTCCACAGAGTCCCAGAACCTGCCAAAGCAGCCCCCTCTGATGCTCGCCCTGGGCCAGGCATCTGAGTGTCTCCGGCTCATGGCCCGAGCAGGCCTGGGTTCTTGCTCCTTTGCCAGAGTCGACGACTACTTGCACTAGCTGACCGTGCTGGCTGGCTCCGGCTGGCCCTCCGCTGGCCCCAGGGCTGGAGCTGCCCTGCCCTCCATAGGCACCTGGTGCAGGGACTGGGAAGCCATGGACAGAGTCCACTCCTCCTGCCTGGCCTTTTCTCCTCTCCCTTTCCTTCCTTCCTTCCTTTCTCTGCCCACCACCCCCTCAGTCTCTCTCTCTCCCCTTCACGTGCAGCGGCCTGTGACACAGTATTGGCTGGTTACTCTCATGTAGCGCCTTCTATTTTGAAAGGGGGGGGTTTGTTTTGAGGAGGGGTTGGGGTTTTTAAATTTTTTTTCTCCTGACTGAGCCACCAGTATTTATCTCTGAAGAGTTTGTGCTGAGCTGGTTTCTGCTAATTTAGTGATGAAGCCTATCCAAGTTGGTGATAGCTTATTATTTTCATAAATAAAAAACAAATGAGATTTTTTTATATATATATATATATAAAAAAATATATATATATTAAAAAAAAGACAGTATTTATCGTAGCATTAGTGGTCCAGCACCTCTTGGGTGAGGCTGTCCAGGCACCATGTTTTCTTTGAGTCCAACTCATTAAAAAAGAATCATCTTAGGCCGGGCGCGGTGGCTCAAGCCTGTAATCCCAGCACTTTGGGAGGCCGAGACGGGCGGATCACGAGGTCAGGAGATCGAAACCATCCTGGCTAACACGGTGAAACCCAGTCTCTATTAAGAAATACAAAAAACTAGCTGGGCGAGGTGGCGGGCGCCTGTAGTCCCAGCTACTCGGGAGGCTGAGGCCGGAGAATGGCGTGAACCCGGGAGGCGGAGCTTGCAGTGAGCTGAGATCCCGCCACTGCACTCCAGCCTGGGCGACAGAGCGAGACTCCGTCTCAAAAAAAAAAAAAAAAAAAAAAAAAAAAAAAGAATCATCTTTGTCACCTCAGCCAAGTGATTTATTTTTTGCTCCCCCTTTTTTGAGTCACAGGCCGAGCTGCAGCCTAGGAAACCCAAATAGGGTTTGGTGGGCCACTTAGTGGGCATGGTTATGTTGGTTTATAGCACCCCAAGAACTGTGGGTCCCTAGGCCCCTGAGAGCTGGACAGAGCAGAGAACTACAGGGCCAAGGGTCCAGAGAAGTGATAACTTGACCCAGGGCCACACAGCAGAGGTAGAGGGTCCTTGGCCAGCACACTATCTACCACTCTACCCCACCTCCCACTGCTTGCCTTGCTCCCCTTTACTCCCTTTTCAATACCCTACCTTCCCTTGTTGTTAAGATGGCCAAATAATACATTTACTCTAAATTGATTGCCTGGAAACTACCTGCCTTCGTCCTGAGAGCTTCTGTGTGTCAGGCTGCCGGAAAGAAGACTCCATTCCCAGGACAGAGGCCCCTGAGTACAGGGGCTGCTTTCTTCCTGCCTGGATCTTCACCCTCTCTGCACAGCTCTGAGAGAATGGATGCTTTCTGTTGAGAAACCAGTACCTTGTGGAGGCAGGTTCTTGGGCTGCTACTCCAGGGAGTGTTTGGAATCCTTGATCCCCTAGGCCAGACTTCACTGCCACTGTACCAGACAGCTCCCTGCAGCTGGACCCTAGCCAGTCTTAGGAAAGACTGTTGGGAGTATTTGCTGGCCAGAGGATGGGACTCCATCAACTTTACAGATGTCCCACCAGCTGTTTCAGATAGATCCTCACAGCTGGCGGAGTAAAAATGGTCCCGCTACCATTGGGGAATAAGAAAAGGAAAGGCTGAGATGGTTGCCAGGACTTGGGGTGGCCCATCTGTGGAGAGGACTGGCTGCCCTGGAGGAGGAAAGGGAGGAAGCCTACACAGAGGAGCACCAGGACGGGCTGGAATTATCATACGTGCTTCACAGTGTGAGGGGAGTGCAGAAGCCGCCCATGCAGAGTAGGGGCAGCCATGGCAAGGCCAGAAGTTGAACTTTCAGTCCCTGCCTGAATCTGGGCTGTGCAAGCTCCTGCTCCATATTGGTGGACATGGGAATGGTTGGTGTGGCCTGAGATACTCATTGCTCACCAGGCCTCACTGGGCCCACAGCTGGGCAACAAGAAAAATGATTGAATTGGACCAACTGCTGGTGATGGGGCCAGGGCCCTGGGCCCTGTGCTCTCAGAATTCTGCCTTGGGAAATGATCCTATAGCTGCTGCTTTTTCTTGGTCCTTGGGGCTGGCAGGCCCATAGACCATGGCCTGTTAGGAGGTGTCCTGTCCGTAAAGGAAATTCATCTCTTGTGACAGCCTGGGGCTACCTAGCTCCCAAACCCAGAGGTTGGAAATATCAGGCTGTTAAAATGATCACAGCCTAGCAGGATTGGGAATTGAAACCACAGGCTTTTGCAGTTGGAATGGGGTTCAGTGAACATCTCCCCCATTCCTCTCCTGCTACAGATAAGGAAACAGACCCAGGAGATTAAGTGACTTGGCTAAAGTCACACAGCAAATTAGTAGCCGAGCCGAGACTATCCCTTATCCCTGTGGGTTGGGCAACACTGTTTATTTAGTCCTGAAACTGAATGGCAGATAAGCCCCATGAGGGGTTAGGCTGATGTGCCCTCCCGCAGTATGTGAGAAGCTGCTACCTTCAGGGTTGTGTCAGGGATGAGGATGGGTGCCTGAGCTTAGGTTGTGGAGTGGCTGAGAGGGCCCAGGAGGGCTCGGGACGGCTGTGTGCTGCATGGGGTTGGGTGTCTGCCTGGCTTGCACTCGGTACCCATGGCCACCTCCCCATTTTCTGTGCCTTATCTCACTGTTTCAGCTGAGTCCAAGTTGTTTACTCTGTTCCTCTCCAGAGGGGCTCTCTGTCCCAGTTGGGCAGCTCACCTTTGGGACATAAGCCTTTGCCCCACAAGCTGTGGAGAGGGCCAAAACCAAGCTGCTTGAGCCCACTCTCTTGCTGAGAGTCCAGGCCTGCCTGCCAGCCGGAGGTGCCCCTTATGCACATCCAGTCCTACCAGCCTGCTTCCAGGAGCCTAGAGTGGGAAAGGCACCTGGGGGAGCCCTGGTGAAGGGCTGGACCTGACTCGTGGCGGCAGGAGGAAGACCTGGCTTTCTTGGTTTGTCCAGCTCTGGGGAGCAGCCTTCCCTACTCACTTTCCCCTTGCGGCACCAAATGGTCACTCCTTCCAGAGCAAAAACTGGCACTCATAGCAAGCCAGAACCCCCATTCCCATCCACATGGGTCTGTGGCTGGGTGCAGGCCATGAAAACGGACACCACGAGACAGAAGTGGGGACTGCCTGGCCACCCAGCGCCTTCCCACTCCTTAAGCAAGCACAAAGAAGATAAGGCAGAGAACTGTCAGAGCTGAAAGTTCCTTTGGTTGCTCACAACTCAGGTATGCACCCGTGTGGCAGCCAGGCAGCGGAGCCCTACTAGACTGCCAGTCTCATGCACCCAGACCTGTGGCCAGACTGTGGCCTCTGGCTGCCTCAGGCACTTGCCTCTTTGCATCGGGTTTTCCTCCATTGGTAACTACAGCTGAAACAGACATCCTCCACATTGTGCACACTGGTTTTGCCTTTGTCCTCGAGAGTTGATACTTGGCATTAGCATGAAACTTGTGGGTGTGGGAGGATGGAGAGAGAACTCTAACACAAAACATCTTATTAAAATTGTACTTGAGAGATTAAAAAAAAAAAAACTCCTGTTGTATTTTGACAGAATTATTTTTATTAAAATACACATCCATGAGCAGTCATGTGTGTCTGGTCTCTGTTTTGAGTCTTATTGAGGTTGGCACCCCTTCTATGACACATCCTGTCCTAAAGGATTTGGGCCCTTCCCAGCCTCTCAAGTGCCCAGGCCCTTAGGTGCCTTCCTCAAGGACCCTTGAAACTATTTGTAAGACCCCAAAGAGGACAGGTACTTAAACCTTAGTTCTCTCTTGAAATGGCTTTCATCTTAGACAAGGAAAAAGTAGCAAATTCACCTAAAGAGCCTGGGAGCAGTGACTCACGCCAATAATCTTAGCACGTTGGGAGGCTGAGGCAGGTGGATCCCTTGAGCTCAGGAGTTCGAGAACAGCCTGGGCAACATGGCGAAACCCTTTCTCTACAAAAAATACAAAAATTGGCCAGGTGCAGTGGCTCACGCCTGTAATCCCAGCACTTTGGGAGGCCGAGGTGGGTGGATCACAAGGTCAGGAGATCGAGACCATCCTGGCTAACATGGTGAAACCCCGTCTCTACTAAAAATACAAAAAATTAGCTGGGCGTGGTGGCAGGTTCCTGTAGTCCCAGTTACTCGGGAGGCTGAGGCAGGAGAATGGTGTGAACCCGGGACGCAGAGCTTGCAGTGAGCCGAAGTCATACCACTGCACTCCAGCCTGGGTCAAGGCTGCAGTCAGCTGAGATCGTACCACTGCACTCCAGCCTGGGTGACAGAGTGAGACCCTGTCTCAAAAAAAAAATTCAGCTAAATAAAGGTGGGCCACAGGAACTTCTCCCAACAAAAATAAGATATTAAGAATACATTCCAGAGCCAGGTGCAGTGGCTCACACCTGTAATCTCAGCACTTTGGGAGGTCGAGGCGAGCAGATCACCTGAGGTCAGGAGTTTGAGACCAGCCTAGCCAACATGGTGAAACCCCATCTCTACTAAAAGTACACAAATTTGCCGGGCGTGGTGGCGGGCTCCTGTAATCCCAGCTACTAGGGAGGCTGAGGCAGGAGAATTGCTTGAACCTGAGAGGCAAAGGTTTCAGTGAGCCAAGATCGCACCACTGCACTCCACCCTGGGTGACAAGAGCAAAACCCCATCTCAAACAACAACAACAACAACAACAAAACATTCCAGGGCCAGGTGCAGTGGCTCATGCCTGTAATCCCAGCACTTTGGGAGACCAAGGCAGGAGGATCGCTTGACCCCAGGAATTCGAGGCCAATCTGGGCAACATAGTGAGACCCTGTCTCTACAAAAAATGGAAAAAATTAGACATGTTGGTGTGTGCCTGTGGCCCCAGCTTCTCAGGAGGCTGAGGCTGGAGGATTGCTTGAGCCTGGGTGGTTGAGGTTGCAGTGAACCATGATCGAGCCACTGTACTCCAGCCTGGATGACAGAGCAAGGCCCTGTCTGGAAAAAAAAAAAATTCTAAATATTATTCTCCTCAAATATTGCACAGTCAGAAAGTTTTCTGAGCATACCTCTTTTGAGAGTTGTTGTTTTTGGGGTGGTTTTTTTTGAGACAAAATCTTGCTGGGTGCAGTGGCTCACGCCTGTAATCCCAGCACTTTGGGAGGCCGAGGCGGGTGGATCACGAGGCCAGGAGATCCAGACCACGGTGAAACCCCATCTCTACTAAAAATACAAAAAAAAAAAAAAAAATTACCCAGGTGTGGTGGCGGGCGCCTGTAGTCCCAGCTACTCGGGAGGCTGAGGCAGGAGAATGGCGTGAACTCGGGAGGCGGAGCTTGCTGTGAGCCGAGATGACGCCACTGCACTCCAGCCTTGGTGACACAGTGAGACTCCATCTCAAAAAAAAAAAAAAAAAAAAAGAATGCTCTTAGGGAAGAGGTAGCATAGAGGGGAAAATGTGGGTTTTACATTAAGCATAAAGTCCTGGTTCTATATAAATAAAGCCAGAGTAGGCTCACTTTCCTCTAGACTAGTGGTTCTCAACTGGGAATGATTTTGCTCCCAGGGAGACACTTGGCAATGTCTGGAGATTTTTTGGTAGTCACAACTGGGCTTGGGGTGCTACTGGCATCTACTGGGTAGAGCCAGGGATGCTGCCAAACATCCTACAATGCAGACAGCTCCCCCCATCCCTGCCCAACAAAGAATTATCAGGTCCAAAATGTCAGTAGTGCCATTGTTGAGAAATCCTACTCAAGAAGAGTGGAACTCTGAACAATGACTAAGAAACAGATCAAACAGGCACATTTTGACTCTGCCTCCCTTCCGCCTGGCTCTTGAGGATCCAGGAGAGAAAGGATAAAACACCATTAGAAGAGGGGGGGTTTAGGGGTTACAACTTATCACTCGGGGAGCCTTCCATGCTGACAGGTGGTAGGAGTCCTGTCTCCTCCGCTCAAAGCAGGCATAGCTCTACTGCTAGTTAGCATATCTTAGTAGGAACTGCCTCACGCTTAGGTCAGCTGACATATTCTGTCATCACAGGCTGCTCTGGAATGATGGCTGGGAGACCATCCTAATGCCAGCTGAGTGGGGATCTTGATACTCAGCAGGAGGGTCAGACAAGCAGGGATGGGGGCTCCCCATGCAGATACAAACCCCAATCACATTTCCTACACAGCCAGTTTTATTCTAAGATCTACCGGCTTCCTTACTCTAGCGGACAGTCTTCTATTTACTTTGGTGGGGCATAGGCTTCAGTAAAGAGGCCAAGGGGAATGAGGTCACAATCCTGAAGAGCACTGATATTTAAAGAACAATCAAAAAACATCCAGAGGAAGAGGAGCCCAGATAGGCACCTGAGAAAACGGAAAAACGAGTCACTGGGAGTCAGGAAGCCAGGAAGTCCGACGAGTTCGAGAGAACTGGCCTTCTGCAGATATGTCGTTGTCCAACAAGAAATCGTCTTTCATTCCAGGACCACCAAGGCTAACCACAGCTCCCAAAACCTGGTTCTTGACGCCGGTCAGCGGACCGGAGAGAAGCCAAGCTTAGGAAACCGCTGGCTCCGCCGCCTCCGCCGCCGGAAATGAACGACGTGAGCCTCCTAGCCAGGCTGCTTAACCTCCGCCCCCAACCTGCGAGCATGCGCAGTTCCCCGCTACGGCCCCTCCCAGCGTAGGCCCACTCCCGTTATAGAGCATGCGCAGTCCTTATGCCGTCCCGCCCCTCCCTTTCCAGAGCCCCCCGTTCCTTAGAAACCAGGCGGCGCGTTCCGGGTGGCGGCGCCCTGGACTCCCGGGCCCGCGCATCCCCGCCAGCCTTCCTTAAAGCGGATGGGTGGCTGCCGAGACCCCCCGGGACCCATGGTCTCCAGTGCAGCGCGGAGTGGGCGATGCCAGCGTGCCAGGTGAGAGGCGGCCAGCGGCGGCGGGTGAGGGCGAAGGAGGGCATGGCGCGGCCGGGAGCTGGCGGCGACAGGGCCTCCTCCGAGGCCCGGCGCCGGAGGTTGGAGGCGTGGACCCGCAGAGCCGGGGCTGGAGGGGGCTCGTTCCAACTGCCTGCAGGCGGGCGGAGTGAAGGGTCGCCTTGGGGTTCGCCCTTTCCACCGCAGAAATAGGACCCGCAGGCTTGGTGGTAGAATTATAGGATTTGGGATCCTGGAAGAACCTGAGACATAATCCATCCTTTACCAGATGCAAAAACCTAGTCTCCCCTGCCCTGTGCCTAGCCGACCTCCTGCCTGTGTTAGGATGGACGCTTTGTGGATGAGGATGTGTGTGAGGTGTAGAAGCTTGGGACAAAGGGCTCGTGGGGTAGCTAGTTCATCCCCTTTCAGAATGATATGGGACTTTTGGGGATAGATATTTAAGAAACGGGTTTTCAGTTGACAGGTGGAAGAAGGGACACCCCAGAAGGTGCGAGTGACTCTGCCAGCCCCCATATACCCTATGGCCATGTCTCAGTGGCCCTGGCCTACCTTTGTAGCTCTGGAAGGAAGCAGATGGACTTGAGACAAAAGGTGAAGTGAGGTATTCCCATCAAGGCCCTATCACACTTAAAAGGTGAGGGAGGAAGAGTGGACAGGAACATGAGGGCTTGGGAATGATTGTGTGAAGAGTTTATCCTCCAGACTACAGCACGATCTAAAGAGCAAGGCAGGGTAGAAGAGTTGAAAGCTGCATTGGATAGGCATCAAGGAAGCTTATTTAACTGTCTTATTTATGTTCATTGTTCCCATAATGTCATCCTGAGGGCAAGAAAGTGGATGCCCTTTTAAATGTCCAAAAAGAACCGGGGCAGGGCACCACCTTTGTGATCTGTGGGGCCCAAAAGCCTCTAAAGGAATAGCCCTTAGTGTGTGGCCCTTAAGTTGAAGGGAACAGTATTTAATTTAGAAAAGGAAGACACTTAAATTTATTGTGATACGGAGCAATATAGAGAAGATGGTTTTCTTTGAGTCGGGGAAGCTATATTCATTCTTGATAAGGAAACTTACTTCCTTCTGAAAAGCTACACTAGAGAACAAAAGAATTTTAAGGCCATCTATTTTACAGAAATCGTGAAAAAATTAACTGCTTTTGGGATTGGGAGTTTAGAGAACCTGCCTGGACCAAGAGAGGAAAATTTTCAACAGACGCTTCTGTTGGTCGATTCCTTATTTCACAGATAAAGATCCTATTGTGAGAGGTTTTCTCTTACCACCTGGTTTTCCCACTTTTGCTATGGAATAATCATTGGTTTGGGTTTGTTTATTTATTTATTTATTGAGACGGAGTCTCTGTCACCCATGCTGGAGTGCAGTGGTGCAATCTCAGCTCACTGCAACCTCCGTCTCCCAGGTTCAAGCGATTCTCCGGCCTCAGCCTCCCAAGTAGCTGGGACTACAGGCATGTACCACCATGCCCAGCTAATTTTTGTATGTTTAGTAGAGAAGGGGTTTCACATGTTGGCCAGACTGGTCTCGAACTCCTGACCTCAGATGATCTACCTGCCTCGGCCTCCCAAAGTGCTGAGATTACAGGTGTGAGCCACCACGCCCAGCCCTCATTTTTGTTTTTATTTGCTAGGGCAATTGATATCTGATTTCTATAGTAATACTAGAACACATTAGTAGTAGAACTAGGTATTTTTTAAAAAGCCTCTCCTGACCCAAAACTTAAAAATTAGAAGTATGTGATTTTTAAAAGATGGTCCCTGATTCTAATCATCAAAGCTTGTTTGTCCCTCGCTTGATAAAAACAAATTTTCTATTTACATTTGACTTTGCAGCAGGTTTTTCCCCTTGCCCTTATAAGAAGATAGATTGGAAGTATAATAATGTTAACAGGTGAAATCAGTTTAAAGAAGAAAGCTTTGGGCCGGGCGCAGTGGCTCATGCCTGTAATCCTAGCACTTTGAGAGGCCGAGGTGGGTGGATCATCTGAGGTCAGGAGTTTGAGACCAGCCTCACCAACATAATGAAACCCCATCTCTACTGAAAATACAAAATTAGCTGGGCATGGTGGTACACGTCTGTAATCCCAGCTACTTGGGACACTGAGGCAGGAGAATCACTTGAACCTGGGAGGCAGAATTCGCAGTGAGCCGATACCGCGCCATTGCACTCCAGCCTGGATGACAAGAGCTAAACTCTGGTTCAAAAAAAAAAAAGAAGAAAACTTTGTTTTGGCTTCATAATTTCAGCATCATACCATAACTATGGGTATTGTGACTGTGCTTTTTACTGACTTTTCTTGCACTTGTGGGGTTATTTTGTTTAAATACCTCAGGAGATATAATGGAGCATTATCAGAAGCAGATGTAACCTGTGTGGAAAATCAGTACTGTTAACCAAATTCTGTCAGAAAGACTTCATGAAAATCATTGTGTTCTGTGCAGAAACCTTCATTACTTTCAGGTTGACCCAGAGGAAGGTAAGACAAGGAGGCCAAAATCAAGTCAAGGTAAAATGGAAGGGAGCAGTTGCCATCTGTGGAACTGGATGGAGTGTGGGAGAGTGTTTTGAACTTGGGCCCAAATACTTTGAATGAGCTTTGGAGAGGGTACTGCTTAAATATGGCTGTGGTGTGCCCTGTGGATTTGTGTGCGTTTTCTGAACTCCAATCAGAAAAACACTTGTTTTCAGAGAAGGGTAGATTTACAGAGGACTCTCAAAAGTCCTGGTTGCTATGACAGTGAAACCTTTGACAAATAATTACTTAACTTCTATGCCATTTTCTGGAGCAACTGAGGGCAGTTATCATATCTGGCCTGTAATAAAGTAATCAACAGTGTTTGACAGGCCAACCGTGAGGAAACTACCAGATAAACCAGCAATGCTAACAGAAGCTACTTTCACTGAACTGATTTTCTAGTTTTCCCATAAGAGGAGAAATGGAATGGGGATGCAATGTCATCTGATGTTAGAAGTTGAAATGCAGAGGTTGGTGTTCAGAAAACACAGGAATCAGAGAGACCGCTAACTTAGAAATAGGAAAAGTGCCTTTCTGATGCCTGAAAAGTCACTCATGCATATTTTTTTTAAATGTTTATTCATTTTTGAGACAGGGTCTTGCTCTGTCACCAAGGCTGGAATACAGTGGCGTGATCACAGCTCACTGCAGCCTCTGACTCCTGGGCTCAAGTGATCCCCCCCACCTCAGCCTCCTGAGTAGCTGGGACCACAGGTGCATGTCACCATAGCCAGCTAATAAAAAAAAGTTTGTCTTTTTTTTTTTTTTTTTTTAAGAGATGGGGGTCTCTATGACAGGGGGTCCAATTCTAGAACAAATCCACAATTGGAATTAGAGTACATCTAGGAAAGAATGGAATTGGAGATTTTGCTATTTTTGAGAACTTATATGCAGTTTAGCAATGGAACATTATCTTTCTTACATTCAAAAGTAGTAGGTTTATATTAGCAAACTTAAAAGTAAACTGAAATTTGGAGTCTAAAAGTCCTTATGGAAAATTTAAATGGCAGGTGTTTTAAAAATTGAGAATGAAAGATACTTGAAAAACTTGGGTTCATGAAAGTTAGAATGATAAGAGATACTGAGAAAAACATGAAAGCAGGAAGACTTCCCTATACTCTAACACCACCTTATAAGTTAGACATTGGGTCGGGAATGAGCTCACTAAAGTACCTTGTCTTCAAAGACGTAAGAAATGAAAATTTTCTCTCATAGTGATGTGAATAAACACTTAGAAAATATGGATTAGACTTTGGGAGGCTGAGGTGGGCAGATCACGAGATCAGGAGATTGAGACCATCCTGGCTAACACGGTGAAACCCCGTCTCTACTAAAAGTACAAAAAATTAGCTGGGTGTGGTGGCGGACACCTGTAGTCCCAGCTACTCTGGAGGCTGAGGCAGGAGAATGGCGTGAACCTGGAAGGCGGAGCTTGCAGTGAGCCGAGATTGAGGCACTGCACTCCAGCCTGGGTGACAGAGCGAGACTCCGTCTCAAAAAAAAAAAAAAAAAGAAAATATGGATTAGAGCCAGGCGCAATGGCTCACGCCTGTAATCCCAGCACTTTGGGAGGCCAAGGCGGGTGGTTCGCCTGAGGTCAGGAGTTGGAGACCAGCCTGGCCAACATAGTGAAACCCTGTCTCTACTAAAAATACAAAAAATTAGCTGGGTATCCTGGCGGGTCCTTGTGATCCCAGCTACTAGGGAGGCTGAGGCAGGAGAATCGCTTGAACCCAGGAGGCAGAGGTTGCAGTGAGCCAAGATCATGCCGTTGCACTCCAGCCTGGGCAACAAGAGCAAAAGTATGTCTCAAAAACAAACAAACAAACAAACAAAAAGCAAATATGGATTAAACATTAAGAAGGAAGAGTTGAGTATTTCCACGTTACTTAGTACACTTAAACCCTATCCTTAAGCACTTGTTTGCTAGCTCCTGCTCTTAGAAAGGGAGTTGCAAGTGGTGTTTTTGTCCAAAGTACTGTCATTTCTCAAGGTAGCCGGTGATAAAATGTATATACTCTTTGGGACCCTGGATAGTCTTGAAATTCATGGGAACATAGCTCACTCTCTCTGCCACCTCTCTAAGTCGTTCCCAAGAGCTTCTGTAAAGATTTCTATCAATCCTCTATTTGATCCAAATCCAAGGATTTGGAATGAAGGCTGTGAGAAATGGGAACTGGGTATTTAGTGTGGTCTTCCTTTCTGACCTGGGATAACTGCTTCTCTCAAATTGTCAGCTCTCAATTTCTCATGAGACTAGATAACCCCAAAATAGAACCCAGAACACTTCTACTTGGCTTTGAGATTCTACTGTATCACTTTATAACCTCAAAATCTTCATCATTTACTTTCACAATTGTATTTTACTTAGGATGATAACCTTAGGCAAATCGTGTAATTTCTGGATCATAATTTTTTTTGAGACAGTGTTTCTATCTCCCAGGCTGGAGTGTAT